TGTAAACACTGGCACTATTACTGACGCCTGCTAGTGGGAGTTGTAAACACTGGCACTATTACTGACGCCTACCAGTGGGAGTTTGTAAACACTGGTACCATTACTGACGCCTGCCAGTGGGAGTTTGTAAACACTGGCCATGACTTATAGATGAGACTACTGAACTGAGTTTTCTTCTGCATGTAACGGTTTGTTATGAAACGTTTTGTTATTGAACTGAATCCGATTTCCGCATTAATGGTTTATCATTAAAAGTCTGTTACGCTTACACGGTTTATCTGGCATGCTTCAAAGTTTTACCCAAGGGCTATCCATATTTACTTACTGAGTTTATCTCATAGTTTTCCTTGTCCACCATTTCAGGAAGCGAAACCGAGGACGGGGAAACCGAGGGGAGTGACGAATTAGAAGGCTAGCCATTCAATTGGGGTATAAGTTTTAGATTTTATCATCCTTTTGTAAGGTTGATTTTATTCATGAGATTTTGTGATTTGGATAAGTTCCGAGCCTTGTGCACTTGTGGGACTCGTCTCACGAGTGCACGGCGTCTGCCACGTCCCTGGATTTGGGTTCTGGGGCGTGACAGCTATAACCAAGGAAAATCAGTATACAAAAAAATGATTTAGCAGTTCACATTTATGTCAAACATGTGTAGCTAACGACTTAAGTCCAAAAAGGATCTAAGTCCAAAATACTGACTAGCTGTCTAGCTCGTCACTCCCCCTGGTTAACCGTGCCTCGGATCTCACTACTTGAAATGGTGGACAAGGAAAACTATGAGATAAAATATCTCAGTAAGTAAAAATATGGGTAGCCGGTGAGTAAAATTTAAGCATGCATGATAAACAGTTTAACATAACAAAACGTTCAATGATAAACAGTTAATGTAGGATAAGCTTCAGTAGTAGTCACCTCTATAAGTCATGGCCAGTGTTTAACTCTCACTGGCAAACGTCAGTAATAACCAATGTATTGTCCCATTAGCAGGATTTCAGTAATGAACCGGTCCTATCGGTAAACATGTCGACATGTGCTAGCGTTTACAAACCTCCCACTAGTGGGCACAGTAAAACATGACCATATTGGAGACAAAATCATGCAGGATTTACAAGAAAAATCCGTAATTCGCAATCAATCTCAAATTCCAAGAATAAACCGGAAAAATTCCATGTGGGCATGGATTTAACAAGAAAATCATAATTTACAAAAATTCTCACATCATCAAGGCAATTAAGCAAATTCCAAGTAGGCATGCTCTACTCAATGAAAATGATAATAATTCCATTTCAAACCAATCATGCTCGATGCTAACAAAATCAATTTAAACCTTGCCACCATCTCAAAAACAATTTAAAATATGCTTTTACTTTGAAGCCATAGGGCATTACCATAATTTACTTACCTCAGTCATATAACACAGAAAATTCACTCCAAGTGCTAGGGTGACAGAACAATCAAGAACCTAACTAAAATATTCTAAAATTAATAATCGTACGACCAGACATCTCAATTTTAGTCTCAGTATAAACTAAACATTTAAACCCTCCTATTGTTGGCCATTAATGCGTGAAGAGAAATCCATGAACAATACTCATGAATAGTACTCATGAACAGTAATTACGTAGTGAACAGTAATTGCAACTTCTAGAAATTGGCAAAACAATAGCTAATTTCACGGGATTTTTCTCCAGAACCTCACAGTAGCTAATTAACACTCAATCACATAAATTCTACTTGAATTAATGCTTAAATTGTCTTAATTGCTACCAGAATTCCTCCTCCATTTTAGCAAAAATTCGGACAACACAGAGCAACAATCAACTGGACTAAATTTAGCAACTAACGGTAATTTGGACTTAGATGGAGCTATCACATACTAGAATTTAGCAAGCAAAAACCGAAGCTGCAGTTTGGGGAAGGCCGGCGAGAAGTGCAGGGGGAAATTCGAGATCTACCAAAAATTGGGAGGAACCAACAGAGATTAGAGTAAACCCAAGCCAATTCAAGAAAAGAGGAATTAATGGCTGTTTCCCCTTACCAGAAACCGAAAAAATCACACCCACACAATGAAGAGCAACAGACGGAAGGAGCAGAGCAGAGTGGTTCCAGAAATTTCTACAGAGGGGAAAGATTTCAAGGCTCCAAATCTTGTTCTTGAACAAGAAAAAAAGGGGAAAACGTAAGCTTCCTTACCGGTTTCTCAAAGGGAGCTGCTGTCAGTGGCTGGGCTTCCTTGTTTGGTGTAAGGGAGAAGAAGAAGAGCACAACACGCGAACTGAAGAAGAAAAAAAGAAGGAAAAAAACAGCCATCCTTATCCTAATTTCTTTCGTCTTTTAAGTCCCTCAAGTTTGAGACTTTTATGATCAGGCTCAACAATATTATTTTTTCACAATTAGGTCCCTAGCTCACACTTAATTGTTCTAGAAATTTTTGGGGTATTACATAAGGAGAAGTCCAAACTGGATTTTAGTAAGAATTCTATGACAATTCAGTGCCAGAGTTGTTTGGGCAACTTCACAAACCTTCATTGCAGAGATCTTTAGTTGGTTCAACACTTGAAAAACTCGAGGATATTTCCTCAGGAAGATTCTCCAATGCTCAAATTAGCAATACTCAATATTTTAGAGTGAGAGGCTCTCGAGAGTAATTGCAGACAGAGAAGCGTAATGAAGTTAATACCTTGAATGGAGATAGGTAAGGGTATTTATAACCCCCCACTGATGGTATTAAGTTCCACATGTAAATACCCGATTAACCCATGTGTCACCACCCACGTGGGTACATCTGGATAAGTGTGCCCACACTCGAGGTTACCTTGGGTTCATGGACGTGTCAATGGGCTTGTTGGGCCCGCGATGTAGGTGTTGGGCAGATTACCAACATTACTCCCTCCTCAATGTTCAATTAACGAACTGTGGCAGTTGTAATGGTAGCCCAACAACCACCTTCAAAGACCTGGTTTATGGACAATCACATCATGGCTATTAGCTATTTACGCTTCATGGGTTTTATGCAAACTCGTGTTCAATATTGGCGAGCTGAACATGAATCACTACTTCCTGGAGCCAACGCATATGTTTGACAATTTTTGCAAGATCTAGGTGAGCTAATGCAAGTAACGGCAACTCGATCCTATGCCTCTTCTTAAACAAGTTCGTCTAGTAAAGTTTTAACAATTCGAAGACCAATCTCTAAGGAGATACAACCCTTGAATGATTTCATCTTGGTCAAGCTCAACTAAGTAAATTTTCAACATTCAAAATAAACATCCTATGAGGCGCGAATTATGAACGAGCTAATATATAACAGGCTCCTACATGTGATTTTTCAAAATTCAAAATAGAACAAATCCTTGAGGGGATATGGTTTCCTGATAAGGTGCAGATCACAAGCGAGATAATGTAGAACGAGCCCATCCATGTGATTTGTCAAAGACGAGCTAATGTATAACGAGCTCATCCATGTGATTTTTCAAATTTTAAAACAAAACAAATCCCTGAGGAGATATGGTTCAAAATGGTTGCTATCCCTCTAACCCCTGCAATAAATGCTGACTCAGCAGTTGAAGAGACATGACAACTAAAGCCGGCGGATGTTACATGCCAGACTATAAATGGCTGCCACGTGTGGGAATTTAACTGGGGCATTAGAAACACGCGTACGAAAATTAAGGCTGTGTAAACTAATGAAGAAAAGGAAATGGAAATGATCATATTCTCACTTTGGCTGTTTCTCTTTTATACTGTTCTTTGCCATTTTCTACAGCAAAGGTGTTTGAAGTCTATAATTGAAGTACTAAAACTGAAGACATAAAGGGACGTTGTCATTACAAAAACCAGGTAAAAATGGAATTTGTTAAAGAACTTAAAAAGCTTCAGGGTAACCATGAGAAGGAAGATGAAGAGGGTGTTGTATCAGTGCAGCCCATTGCCATGATATGCCACCGAAGTTACAAGATTTGTCGGAGTCCATTACACCAGAAAGTAGCACCAGTTCAAGTGCAAATGGTGGCTCTAGTAGCCTCCATTCTTCTGCCTCTAAAAGTCCGTCATCAAAGGCTGGTGACGGCGAGAATGAGGGGGCCAGCCGTAGTGCTCCGGTGTTTACGAGTACAGAGGAAAGTGTACTGATAATGGATGCGTGGGAGAACATGCCCATTACCGAGAAGTTGGATAACATATGCAAAGCGTCATAAGATTTGCCTACAAGATTTAGATTAAAGGTGGCGCTCCACCATGATGTAACAAATGGTGCTACCATTATTAAGGGGTTTAAGAAATTAGGAGAGATGGTGAAGCAATTTCAAATCCTAAAAACAATATTAGTTCGAGCTAGCACTTAAAATGAGAGGGCATGTTCAGTGTCAAGAATGGAATGGATACTAGTATATGTGGACCATTTTGACACTAGCTTACGATTTCCCTTGCCCGGGCTGATTTTTTACGTATTGGCAAAATACAAGCTGACACTAATGCAATTGACCCCAAACAATATAAAGTTTATCATCAGGTTTATGTTGTTGTGTGCGAGGTTATAGATGCTTGTGAAGGCAATGGTGTTCAAGTTGCTATTCTTGTGTAGGTTAGCTAACAACCAGACGAGGTGGTACTACATCTCCAGAAGGGAAAAAATGATTCTCTCTAAAAATGTGACAAACAAAGTTGTGAGGTGGAAAAGGCCATTCATCTTTGTTCGTGATACTCGGATGGAGAAGATGAGTAACAAGCGCGCTGCTTATATTTTTATGTGGCACACTCCTCAAACATACATGAATTATTCCCAACTGGCACCTTGTGATGTGGATTTGAAGAATCAATTGTTGGTTTACAAGAAAAAGGAGGGGCTGGTAGATTTAGAAAACTTGGTTATCTTAGAGCAATTAAAGGTTTTTGGGTTTGTGGATACTGCAAACCTTTATACTAAAGGTATACTTCTTCTATGAATTTCGAGTTTCAATCAGGCTGAGCCTTATTATGCTCATTTATGCAGGAAAGATGAGTAGCGTGCTAGAGAGGTAGCGAGAGCATGCACAAAGATCAAGGAGTAGGCGCAGGGAAGCCAGCTCACAAAGGCAAATGCGGTTTGATGAACAACTAGCAAAACCGCCTTGCAGCTTGTCTCATTAGGAGCGAGGTTCCAGCTTAGCAACAAGAGTACGTGTTAAGGAATGAGCTGAGACATTGCCTTCGGGGTCTCGAAGGCATGTGCGTGAAGATACGAATGCAGAGGACAATGTGCCACCCCTTGTTCAGCGGTGATTTAAATTTGGGGCTCAACCCGTTGTTGCACGTTCGCCTGATGTGCCCTCTGCCCCAGCAAGTGGTGGTGTCAATGTTGGGTCTGCATAGACACAAGTGTCTAGTCCCAAGATTGTATGTCTTGAAAGTTTCAGCTATACCAAGGCAGATTGTCATGTTGCAATGCTGTAGGGTATGCACAACTTCATTTCTCCTGTGGACCATTAACGAGCCAGGGTTACGTGTAGTAAAATGACGCCTGCGTGGCCATACTAAAACTAATGGATGTAAATATCGTTGTTAAACGTTAGTGTTAAATGTCGTATATGTTCATGCTAAAAATAATGGTACGAGCTAGATGATAGGCTTTTACCCATGTCGTGGCGCTATTTGAATGGAAGCAAAGAGCACGTGGGCAAGCACACGAGCTCACCAAAAACTACAAGCGGTTAACTTCTGAGAAGGCAAGCTTGGAGGAGGAGGTTACTCGTTTGCAGAGTTCTGAGATGGCAAACAGAGCTACATCAACAGAGAGTCGAGCTGACGAGCTAAACAACAAGGTGAACGAGTTGAAAGAAGAGTTGGATAAGGCTCAAATAGAGAAAGAGAGTAGAATTCTTACTACAAAGGAAGAGGCAGGACGTGTTGAGGAGTGCGCGAAAAAGGCCAAAGCTAAAAGAGAGAGTACTCTGAACGAGTTGAACACATTAAGGGCTCGAGTGCTACGACATATCACAGCCTTGCATGTGGCCAAGAAGCCTTAGACCAAATGAAGGTATCTTATCAACGTTCCATCAGTATTGCCCAAGCTCAAGGGACGGAGTGGTTACTCGGTTTAGATACGTTCCAAGATGCCATTGCAATTATGTCAATGAACACCACGACGCAAATTTATGATGACATTCGTGGATAGGTATTACAGCACCGACCTGACTTCCTTATAGGCGAGCTGATGTTTGTGGAGGGAGAGGAAATTGACGAGTAAGGGAAGAGCTTGCTCCCTCTTGTTTATACAACAATACTCTTCAAATGGGAGTTAAATGAGGATGGAGTGCTCGTCTGGCCTCTAACTATTCCTGAAGAAGGGGAGGATCTGGATTGCCTACCAAGCTTCGATGCTTGGGTGGCTATGATGCCTATCATGGAAGCTGAACCTTCGAGCACCCCGCCTCTCTCTCAGCCTGCACCTTCCTCAGCTCGTGACAATGCAACAAGCTCTATTCTAGTGGACCTGACAGATGATTAAGGGGATGGAGTTGTTGCTAACTTTTATATTTTTGTTATTTAAGTTAATTTTTTATTGTTTCATTTTTGAACTGATGTAGTTTGCACTATTATTGGAATGAAACAAATATATTTTATTGATAAATGATTGTACATTTCATAGTTTAATAACGAATGTTAATTATAATATTTCCTAAGGTTTTCTATATTCCATGTAAATGGCAGTTGATGACCTTCTAAATCTGCCAATAGGTAAGATCCAGGTCATTTAATAGCAACAACCTTATATGGGCCTTCCCAGTTAGGAGCAAGTTTGCCTAAGTGTGAATAGGACTAAGTGAGCCCGGCTTTCCATAGGACTAGATCACCAACATGGAACTGATGAGTACGAACCCTTTTATTGTAGAACTTAGCAACACGAGCTTGATAAGATGCCTTCCTTATCCGTGTTGACTCCTTTGTTTCTTCAATGAGATCAATATTTTCCCAGAGTTATTGCTTGTTAATAGATTTGTTTAATTGGATAGCTCTCTAGCTTGGTAAACCTATTTCCATGGGGATAATCGCCTCTATTCCATATGACGTGGAGAATGGGGTTCTCTTGTGGTTAAACTAGGTCTGGTACGAGATGACCATAACACTTTGTTTAGCTCATCCACCCAATTTGTTTGAGCAACCATAACGCATGTCTTGAGACCACGTAAGATGATCTTATTGGCTGAGTCCGCTTGGCCATTTGTTTACGGCGCATAGACAAATATTAGAACAAGCTCAATCTCATAGTCTTCACAAAATGACTTGAGAGCTACAGCTCGAAATTGTGGACCGTTGTTTGGTATGATGCACCAAGGGATGTCAAACCTGCATATTAATAATTAGGTTGAGTGACAAGGTAGATGTGTGTGTGCCCGGTACAATGTGAGTTTAATTTCATAACACTTGCATAATACCGAACTGAATAAAAACTCTTCCACCTTTTTCTCTGTTGTTCTGGATAGTGGTTTGGCTTCTATCCATTTAGTGAAGTAATGCACAGCAACAATAAGATGCATGCAACCCCTTTTACCTTTAACAAATGGACCATGTAAGTCCATTCCCCATTGAGCGAAAGGTCAAGGTGATGTAAGGAAGGACAACATTTCTCCTCTACCAAATGAGGCGTACAATTTTAATCTTGAGGTAAGTGTGGAAGCATATGTAAGTTAATGTGTTGAAAGAGCTGGGTTACTTGGTATGTGAATGTCATTGGAATTGAACTAGTAGATTGGACACTTTTTGACATAGCATTGCGCGTCTTCAACCATATTGGGCCAGTAATATCCATGCCGTAGGAGTTTCTGAGCTAAGGTTTTTCCACCTGTGTGCGTGCCATAAACTCCTTCATAAACTTCTCTTATAACATATTAAGCTTCATAAGGAGTAAGGCAATGCAATAAACGCATCGAGATTGTTCATTATATGACTGGCCATCAACTCAAGTAAAATGGGTTGCTCTACATCTAATCAGTCGAGCCTCAGATAAGTCCTTAGGCAACTCGCCATTTTGTAAATAATTAATCAACGATGTGGTCTAGCTCAGTAAGAATGGGTCAATACTTAGTATTTGACAATCGAGTATTGAGTTGGCATAACTTAGGGCATCTAGGACCTCCACGTATGTTGTTCGATAAAGGCTGAGGTCTTGCAAGGAGGCTAACTTAGATAATTCATCAGTGCGTCGATTATCTACCCGCAGTATTTTGTCAATTTGAAATGAAGCAAAGCCCATTTTTAATTGGTTAACTAGAGAAGCATAATGGGCAAGTTGAGGGTCTTTAACATCATAACTCTCATTAACTTGATTCATGACAAGCTGAGAGTCACTGAAGACCCTTATGCTTTGCACGTTTAGCTCGAAAACTAATTTTAGACCGTAAATTAATGCTTCATACTCTATAGCATTATTGGTTGCTTGAAACTTGAATCTCAAAGCATGCTTCGTTTTAAAACCATCTAGGCCAATCAATAGCGCTCCAACTCTCGAACCCTAAATGTTCGTAGCTCCATCTACATATAAAGCCCATATTGGGTTCGAGGCTATGGCTTCCTTTGTAGTTGTTGGAAGACACTCAACTAGGAAATCTGCTTAAGCCTAGCCCTTTATAACTGTGCGGAGTTCAAATTTGATGTCATTTTCACTAAGCTCCACAGCCCACCCAATCAATCAATCGGAAAGTTTAGGCTTTTGTAGTACCTTACTCAGTGGTAGGTTAGTAAAAACAACAATGTGATGGGATTGGAAGTATGCCATTAACTTTCAAGCAACACAAACAAGGGCAAAGGCAGCTTTTTCTAAAACGGGATAGTTTAGTTTTGCACCTTGCAAAACTTTGCTCGCATAACAAATGGGCTTTTGTAGCTTGTCCCGCTCTCTTAGTAAGATCGAGCTCAATGCCTCAACTGCAATTCCCAAATACATATATAACTTCTCCTCGCCAATAGGTTTGGAAAGTAGTGGTGGCGACGCTAGATATTTTTTGACTTCTTCGAAAGCTTGTTGGCATTCACTCGTCCACTACAAATTTTTGGGCTCTCGCAAAGCTTTGAAAAACGAAAGACATCTTTCTGTCGACCTAGCAATAAATTTGTGCAAGGTAGTGAGGTGACCTGTCAGATGTTGTACATCTTTCACTGTTTTAGAAGGCTCCATTTGCTCCATGGCTTGAACATTTCTAGATTCACTTCAATTCCTTTCTTTGAGACTACATATCCCAAAAATTACCTGACTCCATGCCAAACATACATTTTAAGGGGTTTATCTTCATTTGTGCTTGACACAAATTCTGAAATGTTTCGTTTAGATCGTCAATGTGATCTTCAACTCGTAAACTTGTGACAATCTTATCATCAACATAAACTTTGATATTTTTGCCGATCTAAAGCTTAAAAACGAGCTGAACTAATTTTTGATAAGTAGCTCCTACGTCTTTTAACCCGAATGGCATCATCACGTAATAATAAATCGCATCGCCAGCATAAAACATTGTTTTCTCTTGGTCATCTAGCCACAACTGGAGCTAATGATACCTCGAGCTGGCATCTAAAAAGCTCATTCGCTCATGACCAGCTGCCCATTCAATTAGCTTTTCAACATTGGGTAAAGGGTGTAAGTCCTTCAAACATGCATCATTAAATTTATGAAATCAATGCACATTCTTCATTTCCCATTAGATTTTTTGACGAGTATGGGATTGGATACCCATTCCGAATACTCTACCCTTTTAATGAAACCTACCTGCAACAACTTCTGTATTTCTTCATCTATGACAACTTGCTTTTCCAGACTAAAAATGTGACACTTTTGCACCACTAGTTTCCTTGTGGGGTCTGTGCTAAGCTTATGAACTACAAATTTTGTTGAAATCCCAAGCATTTTATCTATTTTCCAAGTACAAACATCCTTGTTGGATCTCAAAAACTCTAAAAGCTCTTTTCTGTCTCCCATTGTGAACTTAGTTCTGATTTTTACAATTTTCTCCGATTCATCAAGGTTTAAGGGGACTGTTTCCACAGGCTCCACTAGCTTGGCCTTTTGTCCCACATTTTCAGGTCGGTGATCTATGTCAAAGATGCTCATCGTTTGCTGGCATGGTTGGCTCAGCCGCGATACCTAAGAGAGAGAAGTTTTAGGTGCTATCGTGAGCTCAACTTTCTTAAATGTGTCTTGGTAGCAGGTTCTCGCCATCTTTTAGCTTCCCTTTAGCACTCCTATTCCATGAGGTGTTGAGAATTTCATACATAAGTGTGGTTGACAGATGACAGCCTTTAACTCACAAAGCATGGCTTTCTCAATTATGTGATTAAAAGCTGATTCCATTTTAACTACTAGGAAGCTTATTGATGTCATCCTAAATCGAGGCTCAAAACCCACAATTATAGGGAGGGTGACCAGCCCTTCAACAGGGACGAGCTAGTTATTAAATCCATATATAGGTCCTTCGTATTTCTTCAAAGAAGCTAAGTTCAACTGCATTTTTTGGAAGCAGTTCCAATATAAGATGTCTAGAGAACTATCTGTATTAATGAAGACATTATTCACATTTTGGTTGCCTATGTGAATGGTGGCTACAAACGGATTAGCATGAGGCATAATAATATCAGGTTCTCCTTCTGATCTTTTTTAATCTGTCGGGTTGAACGTGATTGGTACATTTTCCCATTTTGCTTCCTCAAACGGTCATTTTAGGGGTCTGTTCTTATTCACAGTCATTACTGGACGAGCGTAGGCTTTACAACCATGGGCGCATTAGCCCCCTGAATACATCCCACCAGAAATCATGTTTACTGTGCCTATGGGTGGAGGTATTGCGGTATAGCCTATTCCTCTGTTATCCTTTTGGCTCTAGGCAACGGTCCTTTGTCCTTGTCTTCTTTTGTTAAGTTGACATCCTTTATAACCCTTGCTGAGCTTAGAGGGAAATTGATTCCCTTGATACACGTTCTGATTACTACCGACTTGATACCCTTGCCCATGAGATCAACTGTAGTCTTGCACGTAATGGGTTTGGATAGGTTGCTGAGGTTAGAATTTCTAGATATGTTCTTCCAGTTTCCCATTCCAAGCTAAAAATTCCAACTCGTCCTTCAAGCTTTGACAATCGTCTGTATAATGACCATATTCACAATGGTAATCACAATATTTTCTCCTATCTGTTTGTGTTGAGTCATGAATAGGAGGTGGTGGTCTCTTGATCCAATGTTGGATCTACGCCAAGATTTGAGACCTCGATGAGCTTAAGAGGAATGTAATTCACATATTTTGGAAAGCCAGTTGGTTTTTCTCTCTAATCAACAACTTTCTTCTTTTTCTTTTCTTCCCTTCCTTTTGGCTGCTTGTGTTATTTATTTTGTTTCTCATCAGGTCGTCTTTTGGATGATTGAAAGTCTTTCGATAAAATGAAGTTTACTGACCTATCATTCACTTCATTTCATGATTTTGGTGGATTTTCTAGCAGGTCATCTAAGAACCGGCCAGGTTTTAAGCCATGCAGCAAGGTGGACAAGCAAATTGTTTCAAGTACATTGTCGATGTCTAAGGTAGCTTTGTTAAAGCACTGCATGTAATCTCTCAACGACTCCCCCTCTTTCTAGTGGACTTGCATCAACTTAGTGGCTGTGCGTTTTATTTCTCACTAGCGCACAAACTTCTAAGAGAACAAAGTAGCGAGCTGAGAAAAAGAGTTGATGGAGTGTCTTGGGAGTTTATGGTACCACCTTCTGGCTATCGACTTTAAAGTGGCTAGAAATACTTTGCACATCATTGCATCTATTGCATTTTGTATCTTCATGATGCCTTGGTAGGTGCGTAAGTGTTCATCTGGATCATCAGAGCCATCATATGTCTCTAAATGAGGAATCTTGAACCCTTCTTAATAAGGCTCTGTCGTGATGGGCATGCTAAGAGGAGCACTGTCTAGGTTAGGCGCTTGTTGGTGTGACCTAGGACTCGTCAGCTCGTCAATGGACCTTTGTATACCCTCAAGTTGCTTTTTGAGCTTGTTATTCTTCTTCAACAGCTCTTCATTAAGCTTTGACAAGCTGGGTTCGAGATTCAATTTCTCACTCCCTCTTAGTTTTGTCAATACAACTACATTACTCAAAGTCGAGGAATTATAGGCAACAACTTTTGCAAGATGATCACCCCTATTCAATAGGAGAATTAGAGGATCATTAGGAATCAAATGAGAAAGTATCCTTTCCATAGCCATCTCCAGGACCTTGGTTCTCTCTTCTAGCTCGGATGTCCGGGTTGACTTTAAAGGCCTATTAGGCCATTGTGTATTGTAAATGGGATGTCTTCATCGCGTGCCTCTCAGAGCCTGGAATTGCTCTTCGGGTTGGGTTACATACCCAATGGGCATTCATTCATCATCAAAACTACTTAGTTGTTCCTTTGCTCCCCCTACAAAAGGGTTCCTTGGCATCGATCGAAAGTCATTGAGGTTAAACTCCGAGAGTTGAGCATTACTTTGATTGTCCGTTCTTTTTACTAGAGGAAGCTGACTTCTTGTAAAGGTACGTACCATGTTTAACTTCAGTCAGTTAAGCAACACTGCTTTTTTGTAGGTTTCCCACAAATGGTGCCAAAATGTTTAGGCAACTTCACAAACCTTCACTGTAGAGATCTTCAACTGCTTCAACACTTGGAAAACCTAAGGATATTCCTCGGGAAGATTCTCTGATGCTCAAGTTAGCAATACTTAATATTCTAGAGAGAGAATGCTCAAGTTTGCAATACTTAATATTCTAGAGAGAGAAGCTCTCGAGAGTAATTACAAAGAGAGAAGCATAATAGAGTTAATACCTTGCATGAAGGTAGGTGGGGGTATTTATAACCCCCCACTAATGGTCTCGAGTTCCACATGTAAATACCTGGTTAACCCGCATGTCACAACCTATGTGGGTACATCTGGGTGAGTGTGCCCACACTCGAGGTTACCTTCTATTCTTGGACATGTCAATGGACCTGTTGTGCCCGCTATACAAGTGTTGGGCTTATTCCCAACAAGAGTGAAAGAGAAATTAGCCTCAATAGATCTAGAACACAACAAGATGGTGCGCCTAGAACTACAACAAGCACACACTAGATTTTTGGTTGAAACTGAGGCCCCTTTTTAACATTCAAACAACAATGAATTGAAACTAAAAACAGTAGAACTAAGTAGCAAAATAGAAAAATAGCTATGAAACAAAGCTAAAATAGACAAGTACTACCCCAGAATTCTACAACTTAACGCAATAGAAAATTTCAACAAGTATTGCATCTAAAATGCACTACAAACTAACCAGATTCTAGGCCTAAGATAGGGAATTTTCATGGGTTCATAATGACAGAAATGCAAGGTTTTTAAACTAAAGAAAAGGCATTCTTAGTAGAATTTTTTGGGGCAGTAAATCCAGGCCTTATCACACTCAAATCAACAACCAAACACACCCAAGAACATTACAGAATTTCATCCAAAATCAAGGGTTTAACCTAGTTATAAAACAAAGATAAAATAGCATATTCCGAGCATGAAAATAATGGATTATTCAGGGTATTACCAAACAAAACATGTGCAACAAACTGAGCTTTGTCATCACAAGATTCATGATGGCAAAAGGGGAAGGAAGTTCTTTTTTTCTTTTTCTTTTTCTTTTTCTTTTTTTTTTTTGGTTAGATTACAAGTTAAAATAAAATAACTACATCGAAATCGGAAGTAGTTCGCTAAACTGCTAAAGAACTTACGTGAACTCAAAACTTTTGATCTTATTTAAAAAAATATTGACCTTTTTCTATTTAAACTAACAAATTACAAGAACAACATGCTCTGATCTAGTGGCATGAACCTTTGAGTTAGGGTGTTCATCTCCTGTGAGTGGCATATTCGACCCCACGGATTCCCTTTCTCCTTTCCTCACTTAATTGATATATATAAATAATTTCAATCTGTTTTTAAAAAAAAAAATTACAAGTGTAAAATTTATAATATTAACAAATATATTGGTGATATTGGTGATAATAACCTAGCATAGCATGTGCACCAATCGTTGGGAGAAATAATATATCCGCATCCTATTTTAAATTCTAAAAATTGCAACTTGATCCCTCATCAAGCAAACCCTAGGCAGCGAATCACGCAAATGAGCCCTTGAACATGTCAAGGGGTAACAAAAAAGCCCCTTAGTTGCAATTAGTAGCAATTGACCCCTTAAACTCATGAACAGTGGCAAATCAGCTCTTGTTTAACGTCCATGTCAATATTCCACTAAAAACTAACAATTCTCTGGTTAGAATGGATTCCACAGCTTACTTTGATGCTATGTGGCCCATTGAGGTCTAACATACCCTCTCATGTCATTAAATCATTAATATTTTTTATTTTTTTTAAATATTCTAATCAAATTTAATTACTATAATTTTTTCATACATTAAAAGTTAATTACTTACAATAGAAATCAATTAGATTAATTAAATTTCAATTGTCATTTTGTCAAGCAAACAAGAATCGAAAACCTTAAGTATTGTAGGATGGTTCCTCAGCTAACTAGTATCTTTTTCCATTTGTAAAAATTATTTCAGTCTAGAAATTTTGAAACACTATTTATAAAATTAAAATTTAACCAAAAAAAAAGTTTGAAGGAAGAGAAAATGAGAATTATGAAATTCCATGAACTAATTTTTATATAGGTTTAAGTACCATTTTGGTCCCTCAACTTTTCACTTTGGTACTAAAATTGTCCCTCAACTTTAAAAAGTATCAAAATTATCCTCAAATTTTCATTTTCGGTACCAAAATGATCCTTCTATCAGTTAAATGCAGATGGCACGTTAATTTGCCAGCAAATCACTGGATTTTTTTAATTTTAATGACGTGTAAATTTCATGTAAGAAAATTTAATATTTTTTATTATTATTTCATAATTTTTCAAACTTATAAAAAAAAAACAACTTCATCTTCTTTCTCATTTACT